GCAGGCGAAGTTGATGAAGAGGGTAGCATTGAAGAAATGGGAGAAGTTGTTGAAGAAGAAGATGATGAAAGTATTGAAGATGAGAATATGGGTGATGCAGATATAGTAGCAAGTGATGAGGATGATTATACGAATTCTCAACAAGAACAGGATGATGAATGTGACATACTGGATGATGGTGAGATTGTGGAGGATGTAGAGGAAGCTTTCATAGGGAAAAGGAAACGTGGTGACGACGAAGACGATGATGACGACGAGGAAGGATCATTGCACGAAAAACATTCTCGTATATCACTGGATGAATCCGAAGATGAAGGCGTTATTGAAGAAAGTGATGGAGCTGTCGACGATGATGGAGCTGTCGACGATGATGGAGCTGTCGATGAAGATGAAAATGATGATGACGATGATGATGACAATGCTACAATAGAGGATAATGAAGTACAGGATTAGGGTTATGACCCAAATCGTTTTTTTAAAGGACGATCCTTTTGTTTTCTTGGGATTAAACTTATAAAGGTTTAATGAGATTAGACAGGTATTCTTACAAAAAGCATTTACTAGCATTATTTTTTAAAGCTAAATCTAATAATAATGATATTTGGGTTTGGAAAATTTTCTGTTTCATTTTGGATAATAACCAAATGTCCATTCTCAATAATGTAAAATTCAAACCAATCAAATTTGTTAAATTTATGCTATAAATTATTAAAACGTTTTTATTTTAAAATTAAAAAATGAAAGTTTTTAGCATTCAAATAAAATTCAAATCAAGCTTCTTTGAAATTCGAAACTCTTAGAACTTTTAGAAGTGACAAGATTGTGATAGCGATACATATTAGATATTATTTAAAATAAAACACATGACTGGTTATACGAAGAATTTTTTATTTAACACCCTAGAAAGACTTGTTCATAATTGTGAAACGCAAATTTACTGAATTTGCATTTTTGCCCTATCGCTATTTGCGAAAAAATGGCTAAAATAGGTTACCTCTCGTATCACAAATTGATCGCGTTTTTATATAGACTATTGTGCTCTTGCTCTTTAATTTACAGTGCTCTGGTAGAGCTCATGCAGGAAACGAAGTACTTAACGAGGCTTGGTAAATTTTATACATTTGATGTTGGTTTGTTAACCAAAATTAGACAAGGTTTGGTTATTTTTGATTTTTTAATTTTTTACTTTCGG